ATTACAGGCTCCTTATTAGGTTACAGAAGCTAAAATCTTTCAATTTTGCCTCCAGCCAGACTTGAACTATTGACCTTGACTGTGGAGGGTATGGAAGCTTAACCGCTAAGCTATGGGACCCACACCCTTATATTTGAGTTTTGTCAATAGCAAGTTTATTTAATATATGACCAAAAATATTATTCATTTTAAAATCAAAATCTTTAATTTCTTTTGATGTAAACTTGATTAACTAATAAATTTATATTTATATTTATATTTTTTATACAATTAAAAATACTTTTTAAAAAACCAAAACTAATTATAATAAAATAAAAAACTTGTATAAAAAGTTTTATTAAAGTTATAAAACTTTATAATCAAAAATAAAAACTAATTATTGTCTGTTTAAAAAAATGATATAGTAATAACTTTTTAAAATCAACTTATTACTAAACTAATTTTTTTAAACAGATAAGAATTAGATTTTATTTTTGACTATAGAATCCTATAACTCTAATGAAACCTTCTATACAACTTTTTTTATTTCATTATAATTAGTTTTTTGGTTTTTTAAAAAGTACTCTAAGTTGTATAAATGTAAAATTAAATTGAATTTATTAACCCATCAGACGAACTTCTGCCTATGAATGTCTACATAACTTGAATAAAAAACATCGCTCCCGAAGATAGAGACTGATATTAAAAAAAAGTAAATATTACATATATTATCAATAAAAAAACTAAAACTCTTTAAAATAAACTTTCAAAATACTAAACATTTATTTTGCGTATTTTTAAATAAATTATATATATATATATCTAATTTAAGCTAAATATTTAAATTATAACTCTATTTAAACTAGAAATAATAAATTTGTTATAATAAGATACCTCAAGAAATAGAAACTTTGATACAACAATCCAATATCTCAACTCTAAAGCTTGATTTTATCCGTATTGAGCTATAAATATTCGTAGTATTTTTTTCCAAAATTGTAAATTGTAAACTTTCCATTATAGATGAAGTTGCAAATTATCATAAATGCTTTTAACAATCTGATATACAACCAAAGCGCCAGGATCAGGAACACCAGAGTTTTTAATATCATCATAAGAAATATATGTTGATCTACCAAATTTTGGCTTTAAAAATTTGGTAGACTCCACATTATTTTTAGCCAAATTTACTGCCAGTTTTAAAGCTTTTAAGGCGCTATCTTCAGAATCCAAATTGCTTGAAAAAGTGTCGATAAATGGAATCAATACGTCCATCATCGTACGGTCACCAGTTCTAGCGGGGGTATAATTTTCAAGTGTTGCTAATGCATTCTGGATAAATAAATTATAAATAAACAAATTGCATTATTGAAATATTAGCCTTCTTAGAACAATTGAGGTTTATATCGTCATTAAATATGTGGGCTATTTACTACTTGATTGAGATAACTTTAGGAACCGCTGAGATCCCTAATGAAATCTACGATTTTGCAATAAATAACAATTATATTTCCAGTTAAAGAAACCCACAACAGAAATAGGCCGTATTAGAGATGTTATAATGACGAGCTAAACAGCAACGGCCTTAAAAATGATATTTTTGACATTTTGTTAGTGATATTTTCCCAGAAATTAACTCTAGCAAAATATCAGTAATATATAATCAACTAAGACTTTTATATGAATATAAAACTAAAAAGAAAAAAACATTCAAACCTTTAATGCTTCAGCCCAGCATTTTGCATTAATGAAAAATTGATTTTCTTCGCTAAGCTGATAATTTGCAGCCAGTCTCAAACTATTTGCAAGTGCGTATAAGAAGATACTAAAAATATAAATTTTTAAAAAAATAAATATATATTTACGCAATGAGAATGGTTTAATAGTTATTTGTAATATTCATTCACCTAAATAAGCAACCTATTGTCCCCCCTTGTTTTTCTAAAATGTTGCCGATTTGCGCAGTTGCCTCAACAGGATCGTGAGAAACAATCTGACGTTCTTCCAAAGCCTTTATAATATCTAAAAGAAAAAACCAGATCAACCCATATTGAAAATTACTATTAAAAATATTAAAGTCTTTAATAGCGAATAGCTTTTGATCTATTGGCCAATTTTGGATGATTTCACCACCAAAATGTCCGTTTTGATGAGAAGATTCTAATAAGCCTTCAATCGTTAAAATCAAATTACAAGATCCGAAATTGTTAATGATTTATTTTCTTTAGGTAAAGTAGGATTAGTTAGACCACCAAAAGTAAATAAACTGAGATTGGATTTTAGGATTTGGGTCATTAAAATCGACTCATCGAGACGGTTTTTTGGTGGTAAAATAATCTAAAACGGACTAGTAGATCAATATTAAAGATTTTTAATATTTTTAGTTGTAATTCCCAATATTGGCGGATATACCGAATATCGAAATTAAATCACGATATTCAACAAGAATTTAAACGATAAATTCATCATATAAAATATAACAACCAGTTGCACAATTCTTCATCGTAGTTCCGCAATCACCATCTCCAACAATCTTATCATATTGAGTAATATCAGGTTCAGCCTGAATAATCGCATTACATACAGATTTCAAAGTCGACTCGAAAATTTGAGAATCTAATATAAACAAATAAGCAAATTAACAGATCAATAATAAAATTTCAGATAATATTTTATTATGCGCATACATTTACCACAACGAATGATCTGGGGATATTTATCATCAGATTTCTTTATACTTGAATCGGATACTTTTTCATCTAATTTAGTGTCCAAACTAGAATAATCGAGATAAATTCGATTAATCCAACCCGGAACTTCCACATGCTGATCTAACATTTGTATTATATCACGATCTTTTGGCAACTTGAGTATAGTCAATGAGAAACCCGGCATGTTGAATGATGTCATAAAAGTTCCTGTATATAATCTTGAAATATAGAAGTGCTTTTGTTCTATTTATAACGATGTATATATTATTAATTGGAATTGAGAAACACTCGAAGTCAATTATTATCGCATCGTGTAATGAGAAATAATATTTCTCATTTGCCTCGAAACTTAACGCATATACAAAATTCAAACCTAAGTATGATGCTGCGTCGTAGGTACAACGAAATAATTCACATGTAGAAAGACCACCAAGGTTATTGGCAAGTAAAACAATCGAATTTTTCTCCGGATGAATATCTAAATAAGATCTTTCGGGATCTTCTGTATCTATTATTGTATCTAACATTTTGTGAATAAGGTCACGAGAAGGTGGAATTGGGATTTTTTGAAAACCTGGTTCTCCATGAATACCTTTAAAACATAAATAAGTGTGAAATAAAACTTCTGGAGAGAACATAAGGTGAGTCAAAAGTGACCAAGCAAATTTATATTAAATTGTAGCTGATACTAAAAATTTAACCTATTTTATAAAAAATTTTTTTGAGACCTTTTCTTTTAGGATTTAAAACTATCGTTATTAAAGATTTAATGATGACCTCAAATTTCAGTATCAGCCAATTTTCATCATAAGCTTACCACGTCAATTTTTTGAAAGATATAAGAACTTAACCAAATTTGATAAAATATTTTTAAAAAATTCTGCAAGTTTATAGAATTTACTTAAAGCAATTTTTATCAAATTTGGTCAAGTCTTCACCATCTTTAAATCGAATTTTTATAAAATGTTTACTTGATTTCTATTGACATACCCACATAATATGAATTTTAATATATTACGAACCCATGCCAAGCTCAATGATGTCTTTAGGCAACGTAGGGTTATGAGACAAACCAGGAATTTTACAATGGTCAAAAGCGACGCCAATAGTGCCGATATTTTCAGCCACTAAACTAGCTACTGCCTTTGTTTCTTCAAGAGTTCCACTAGAAAAAGAATTATGGGTATCAAGCAATTAACAAAAGAATTAAACCCAGCACCATATTAAATATATTATTAAATTTGTTACCCTGATGCAGCCACAGCTCCTGCAACCTTATGTACCAAAACTGTTCCTGCCAAACCCCGTCGGCCAACAGCGCTGTTTCTACCGATACTAACATCATCACCCACAATAATCATGTCAACCTTGATACCTTCATTTTTTGCACGTTCAGCTGCCAAGCCAAAATTTAAACAATCACCAGTGTAATTTTTTACAATCAACAATGTGCCATGAGGTGATTGAATCCTACGAATTCCGGCTAAAATTGCAGTCACTGAGGGTGAAGCAAAGATGTTCCCAGAGACAGCAGCTGAAAGCATTTGGGGCCCTACATATGCGGCCTGAACAAATAGGGGAATAGACGGATAAGCAATCTAATTATGAACTTAAGGTTTTAATTTACAACTAGAATTAATGAAATTTCAGCATTACATGTGCAGGTTCGTGACCAGCTCCCCCTTGATATATAAATTAAAATTGCAATACTATTTAAATTTCAATCGCAAAGTATTTTCTGAAATGCTAAATGATTTTACCCCCAGAAATAATTGTGACTTGTTTCTGCCTAATTTCATCAATATCGGCCCTATAGACGACTATGAAAAAAAATTAATATCTATTTGCAGGCAAGTTTTATACAGTATTTAATGAACTCACTTTTTTCCTTTTCAATCAATCGTAGTGAAGGATATGTTAAACAAAGTCCGCGAAGAGATTCGATAACAATATTTTCTGACATCTTTTAATATCAAAAAGTTGATCATCAAAGAATCCGATGAAATCACATCTTATATATCATATTTGAGTGACACCAAGTAAAAACCAAATTTAGGTTATTTTTCAATTATGATCTTAATTTATTAATCACGTGAGTTTTTTAGTAATTTTCTTTAAATACTTGATAAAATATAACAAACCTTAGAACCAATTATGTAGATAAACATTGCATAAGATTTTTATAAAAAAATAATCCACCAACTTGGTTTTCATGCCATACTGCTTAAGAGTACAGTTAATTGATTAGAAGTGAAAATAGTAGAGGTAGTAATTCCGTATATGTATTGATACGTGTATGTACACTAAAGTTAGTAAATGCTACGAAAGTTTATATAACGAAAAATTTTAAAAAATGATTCGGCTTTTAATTTTATTTTCAAAAAAATTATTTATAAAAAACAACCTTTTTTTTATATATTTCCAAAAAAGTCACGGACACTAAATGGGAAAAGGGACGAAATTGACAATTTTTTCAAAAGCTGGTTTTTACATAAATCAATTTAAAATAAGATTAGGATTTTTCACTTAAGACTTAAAAGTAGTTGTGTTAATAAAATTTTGCAATATAGCTCTTTAAAGTTTACATTTCTTATAATTTATTATAAGATTACGATGATCTTTTTTTTTGTCTTTTCCTCAGCACCTAGCCCAAATATAGTTGTAAAATTTGACCCGGTGGGGCAGGGTTGGCAACGGATAAGTCCATTGAGAAAATTATCAATGAAGCGAATGGATAATATCCATTGACTCCATTGGATTAACAAATCATATTTATATTAATAATTTTATAAATTAGAAAATATAATATATATACAAATAATTTATAATTATTATGTTGGCACCATTGGCAAATTATTTATTCTCAATGAAGCAATGGATCCCTGCAGTGGGGTTGTAAGATACAATCAAATAAATTTGTATAACCTATAAGCTTAGGTCAATTAAACTTTACACGAAGTGCGATAAATTTATTCATAAAGTAAGTGAAATTATAAATCAAAAAGAATATTTGTTTTACATATAGCATAACAAAATAATTTGGAAATTTATATTGGATTTTGTTCAATTCCAACCTTTCTTTCCAAAGCTATCTTTCTCGCTAATGAGACTATCAACAAGAGAAAGAAACTCCTTAATTTCATGTATATATTCTTGTTTAAGTGTTGGTGGTGTCATACAAGGCGAAGAGGATGGGCTAATAAGAAGTGATGAATCTAAGTAAGTGTCGATTTCAACGGTTGAATTAGATAATACGACGCTCATAGCATGATTTATCTCTTTGAGTTCGAAATGAGGATTCTCTGGATTAATGCCCAGAGTTCGTAACAAATTTTTAACATCACTAATACTCATTCCTGGTGGAAAAAATATCTTCAATTCGTAACCAAAGAATTCCATATCATATTTTTTATGATTTAACAATGATGTCAGAGTAGAAATAACTTCAATCATATGTTTGTGTTGCACTTCCGCAAACTCCTGAAGATTTTGAACGAATGATGGATTTAATTGATTTTGCTGAGAGTCGTTAGTAACAAAATTAATATTGAAATTTCCTTCAAGTTTTAAAAAAAGTGAAGAATTAAGTATAAAAGACATGTATATTTGAACATTATCACTAGTGACAATGATTTTATCATCCATTATCTCGGTAACTGCATCGTTTTGTTTAAGCGATTTAGTAATATTGGAGTGACAAACAATTCTGGACATATTTTCGTCGATTATATCCTTCTTTTGTATAGCCTCAATAGTACTCTTACTTTTGGTAAATGATTTATTTTGATCCGCTACTTTAAGATTTGTGGACCTATTTTTCTTGACGCGATCACATTCTGAGGGATGATTTATTTGTAGCTGTTGAGCCCACAAGGACCCGGTTTTAGTAGCAAACGCTGAAAAGGGCTTGAAGCCTAGTTGTGCAAGGATGGTACTACCACTACCAGTGCAATTATTTAGCATGGCAGTCTGTACAGATGAAAAATTTCTAGTTCTATTGCTAAATATATTTCTTGCACCAGCAGGTTGTAGGAGCCCATAATTGTGAACTAAACATGTCCTTTGTGATTTATAAAAATGAAGTGAAGTCTGGGTAAAAGTCGCAGGAACGGATATCTCATTAAGTGATTTGAGAACGGGAAAGGTCTCTTGAAGAAAACGCAAAAGTTTTGATTTCTCTATAGAGTTTACAAAAGTAGAAGTTGTAGATTGTTTTTGATGTTCAGATACATGTTTGAAAGACTTGGAAAGTTGTGGAATGCAACTACTGTTTACATTTGTTTTTTTGATTCCAGAAGTTGTTATAAACCGTTCAAAAGGCTCGACAAAAGCCTTTATTTGTTTCCACATTTTGCATTCGCCCCTTGCGAACGCTAAAAATCGATTCAGTTTCATAATCTTGACACGGGTTTTAAATAGCTGTTGGTTGTTATACCACATGACCGATCAGTCAGCATGATTGAAATTTTTACTCATGCACAATGTTACATATATTATATGATTTATAATACATAATCACATTGACTAATAACATTGACTAATAACAATTCTAAAATGAGGAATTAGCCCTAGCTGCCGCAACAACATTGTCCCGGCAGATTCTCGATTTTGATTGAATGAAGCCCAATGAAGTGTTGTTCGCATAGCTACTGAGCTCATTGGCTCCATTGCCGCAAGTGACATAAATCACGTGCCAATAGTAAAAATTCGGTTCTATTTCACAGCGTTAGGGTTGAGTGTTTCGAAAATCATGTATTGTTAAGGTGCATGATAATTAGCCAATTAAATTGCTGATTTACAACTAATTAATTTATATAGCGTTAAATTAAAATTAATGCTAACATGCAACATATTGAAAATATTACTATTACAATAATGGTTCATTATGTTTTTTTAAAAAAAATTACTATTCAGAAAGTGTTGACATTACTCAGTATATAATATGTTTTAGATATTTTTTATTATTTGTAATTGTTTTTTTTTCATTTGAACTAAACTTTTCAAAAAGTTAAACTATAGAAAAATGATATAATTAATATATTAAACTTTATGAAAACCTTTCTGGAGTACTGTACATGCATTGCTGAACATTAAAATAGAGTTGAAAAAGAATTGTAACCTTGTGATAATAGTTTAAAAAGTATATTGAAACTATAGAAGAAGTAGTTAATGAAAATTAATATTTTTCATTAAGTAAACAACAAAATTGGATATATTAGTTCTATACAACTTTAAAACTTATAAGGAACATCTATAAGAGTTAAAAACTTATCAAAATTAAAAAATTAGTTCATCTAATATTTTTATTTTTTTTCAAAAAAAATTTTATAAAAATAATCAATTTAGTTTATTTTCTTCTAAAAATCAACATATAAAATTACTAAAACAGTCAATAATGTTTATTTTCTAAACAGAATTGTTGATAATTAGATCAGAAATAATACAATAATACAAACATAACTATATACATGCCTTGAGTTACTAGAAATTTGTCAAACATTGCTTCTGAACTAACTAGTATTTTATATTAATCTTTTATAATAAAATTGAAGTTTTTTTTTTTTTTTGGTTTTTTGTTTAAATAATCTAAATAAATAAAAAAATAGTAAAGTAATTTCTATTTTATATAGTTTATAATTTTTATAAGCCTAGCACAAACTTATAATTATGATTGTTTAATATTTGTAAATTATAAATTATATATCTGACATAGGCTTAAAATTATGATCATCTAATTTTTTATAAATTATAAGTTTTATACTTTTTTTTTATTTATCTTCTTTTTCTCTTTTATTTTTTATTTTGTATTTTTTATTATTTACTTTTATATCTGTTTTTTTTTATATATAAAATCTTTTTTTTTATTTTTTTGTTTTCCTATAAGAAAATATTATCAGATTAGTAATATCTTATTATAGAATAGCAGTCAGATAAGTAGTCTATCTCTGTTTAAAGTAGTGCAACAAATCACATTTAGGTACTAATAAAATAGTCAGATGATACTAAATTTAAGTATTAGAAAAATTTTTTGTAATCTATATAGTATCAAAAATTCTAATAAAGTACTAGTATAACTGTTTGAATTAAAAAAAAATTGTATTTTTTTTTTAATATTAAAATAAGTATTTGTAATTCAGAATTTTATTAATAATATATTTTAGTTTTGTAATTATATATATTATAATAGTTACAAGAAAGCAACTACAAAAAGAATATACAATGTTATTTATACAATTTTAGTTATTATCTAATTTAAGTAGTCTGTTTAAAGATTCTATATTAGTTGTTATACTTAGAATTCTTTTGTAAGTTTTTTATTTAAATATTCTGATTTTTATATCTACTTATTTAACTATTTTACTAGCTATTCTAATTTTTACTAGTGTAAATATATTATAGTTACTAAGTCTTTAAAACAGTTTACTTATATAAAGAATCTTTAAACCTATTAAAGTTTTTGTTATTTTAATTTTCAATTAACCTGATATTTTGCTATAGTTAAAACTAATATTTAC